TTAATCTTTCTTCAATTCCCACTTGCACTAATTTCTATTATTTAGATAAAGTTATTGTAAGTTTGAAAAGTATACATAATCCATATAGGTACAGTATTAAAGTTGCAATATCTTTACCGCAATTTAAATCTCATTTTATACAGAATTTATGACTTTCAAGTTGTATAATCGATAATAATTAAAAGTAAGTAGAATATGAGGGTATAAATTAAAAACATTGATTTTCACAATTTCAAATAATTAATGTGAAAAAAATAAGAACTAATAAAAGTAAACGAACAAATATTATTTTACGTGATTTTAATTATTAGATAACATTATAGTGATAAATTTAAAATCAAGAAGTAGATGAATTTCAACGAATTCATTGAATTTGAAACAGATCATGGACATAAATATAAAATCAGTTAAATAGTAAATTATCAAATTTTAGTAAATTACTATTATATAATCTAATTAATAATACAATCTCGGATAAATTTTAATTATTTGCCAATATTTATTAAATTTCTTATGCTCATATACGGTATTTGATTGGCATTTATACGTCATGCAAAACTATACACATTAGAAATTCGGAAATTTCAACAAAAAAAAAAATTTCAATTTTATGTAAGCCTTTATGTACCTCTGATTATAATACTTTATCATTTTTACAATCGAGTGATCTATATGCAAATAATAAAGTAAAATCAAGTAATTAATATAGCCGACGACTTATAAGATATAAGATGTTAATTAATATCCTGTATACAGTGTATGAAATGTAAACAAATAAAAATATTTCATATATATGGAAAATAGATTTTTTATAATCCCTTATTAATGATCTTTACATTACAGAAACCTCTCCATAATAATATTATATTATAATAATTATTGTTATTTTCTTAATGTGCTCTATATAAAAAATTTTAATAAACAATGATAATTTGTATTGTTATATAATTAATTGACTTTATATTTATTTCACATAAGTGTTTTATAAATACAATTACTAATCATTGAAATAAATGCAAATAAATGCAAACGACAAGTCTGATATGTAAATAATATAAAAGAATCTATTTTTATTAAAAAGTTTACAATCGGGAGAACATTAAAATTGTATACAAAATTTATATACATTATTTATAAATAAGAGAACATAACATTAAAATTCCAAAAATAGTCATCACGATAATTAAAATAAATTAAATAACGTTATTAGAATATGTTATGCTTGTTCCCAATTGTAATTAAATTTTTAATTTGTCCTTCTGTTATTCAAATAAATGAAAACATTTCCGTACTAATGTAATTGTTGCAATTTCATTTAATAATAGTTAATATACAATATCATTACACATTGAGGAAACTACAATTATTCATTGATTATTTTTTTTTCTTATATTATTTAACGCCCTATGTTCGACAATTAAGTGAATATCATAAATAATATTTAAAAAAATATAATTTACTACTAAAGTAAGAAATAAGTGTTTTCTTGCATGAGCTCAAATAATTAAAAAAAATCAATTTCTTTTTTTGCGCTCTCATTTTTATGAATTTTTATTAAATGTATGTGTGTTTATATAATAGTATTTTATAAATTTAAACAATGTCAATAATCTGAAAATATAAAATCAAGATTTATACATTTCAAGCTCGTAAAAACTTATGATTTAACAAAATCATAACGAAGGAAATATATTTTTCAGATTAAAATCATTTTTATGTGCACTGAATATGCGATTACGACTTTCGATGGCACGCCCAGGCAAAAAGAAATACACTCGTTTTTATATTTAAAATGAGTACTAATCTCTTACGTGCAGTTCATTTCTTTCATGTTGATTATGTACTTAACACTATAGGTTGACTGTTATATAATAGTACATTATAGATTTATGCAAAATTTTCGTTTTATACTTCATTTTGTCCATAACACAATTGTGACACAAATTTATCAATCACTTACAATAATCACAGATACTCACGATCACATATTTCAACATATTAACTAGTGAAATAGTAAATAAATAATAAAATTTTATCAGATTCTTAAAGCCATCTATATGAAAGTTTCTTTTTTTTTTTTATTTATTTTATGATTCATTTAGTAACAGAAAAATTTCCAAAGAATCTTCATCGAAGCTCTAATAATAGGAAAATGAAAATTTATTGAATAAACATTATTGAATAAAGTATATTAAGATAAACGATATAACACATTTTATTATTCACTATAAAATGTATAAATTACCGTTAAAAGTCAAACGAGTGCATTAACTCATAACTAATATGTTTAAATATGCAGTACTTGGCAGGCAAACTTATAAGAAAGATAACGATTTAATTTGAAAACGAAGAAAGAAATTTAAATCTGGGAAAATAGCGTTTGTCGATTTCCCCGAAGACTCGAAAAGTTGAACTTTTAAATTCACTCAAAAACGATTCTGTTTGATGGTCACAATTCCTAAAATGAACATAAAAGAAGCATAAAATATGAAATAGTAGTAAGGTAACGGTGTAACAGAGTGAGTGAAGTTATGTCGGCCCTTTTGACAAAATATAGCGGATATAAGAAAACCCAAAGTAGGAGCTTTTGACCCACATGCACGGCACATGTGGTCATAATGTCTCGATAATAATTTTTAGCGATATTTTATAACGATTTCTTATTTTAATATTAAAACAAAAATTTGTAATATAGAAAAGGTATGGCAGCGATCCGATTATATTACAAGAGCTAATATATATCAAGTTTTATTATCATTTGAGGTATCATAAAAAAGTTAGAGAAATTTGTACATCATGCTAACAAAAGAATGTAAAAAGGCTATAATTTAATGAAACTGCTCGACATTTATGAATAATTAAATTAAAGCTACGTTATATCGACTCTTTTACATATTTTAATGTTTCAATACATTTATAAATTTAACTAGAGGAATAATAATAGGGACGCGCTTCATTGGTATAATTAATTATAAGAATAATACGTATAAATAATCCTAATGTACATTCAAATTACAAAACTATTGTAATTGAAATTGCAAAATTGTTATCGAGAGTTAAAAACTTTGAAAGGGTGAGCTTTAAAAATAAATGGAAAATACATGATCATCGAGGAGTTATTATTAAACACTTAATGACGTGGATAAATTTGAAATTCTATAATAAAATTATAAGTAAAAAATATAAAGTTAAAAATTAAAAAAAATTTTTTACGAATAATAATAATAATAATAAATACGGACGACGCAAAAGCTTTTCATTCGTAAATATTTAAAATATTACTTATTTTCAAGTAATTTACAAATGTGGATAAAATTTCAAATACAAATGCCGTAGCGATAGTTTCATGCACGTAGACTATAGTCAGTTTTACAAAATATACAAAAAGTATACATAAATAACAATCCTTAAAAATAACGTAGAAAGCAGAAAATTATGTAACCGTAAGAGTTTCTATAACTTGGCGAATATTGTATAGATAATGAAATAACGCAGCGTACAATGAGCAGGATATGTTGCTAGAATGGCATATAAAAGAGTAAAAGAGTACAAGACATTAGTTAGGCATCTTGAGAATAAAAGATGTTCGGGTGAACTAACATGAACCTGAAAAGGTAATAAATAACACAAGATACGCAGAATGTGAAAAAAAGGATTTCAATAAATTTAATATAAAATTACAAACAATTATGTTATCATATTTAAATTATGTACGATTGAGTTTTCTATGTCGGCTAAATAATAATAAAAGGGTAATAACGATAACGATAACAATAACAATAACAATAACAATAACAGTATATAATAAGCTATAATAAATAATAACTGTAAAAATAATAATAACAATGACAACGATGACGATTAGTATAATAATAATAATAATAATAATAATAATAATAATAATAATAATAATTGGGTGCAACATAAATATAATTTTGAATTTCTGTACATTCGTTCCGTACGTAAGAGCTTTAGTTCATATCCACATTGATGTATTTTCATAAATTCGAAACATATTTCTCATAATGAAATATGTTTTACTTCAGTTATTATAATAGAGATGCTCAAAAGCTAAAAATATATAAATAAATTTTTTAAATATGATAGTTGCCATTCTCATACTGTGTGATGTGCCTTTTTAAACGAAATTTCATAAATAATCGAAGAAATAATATTCATCGATACAACGAACAATACCATATTCAATTATCATAATTTAATATATTTCTTAATAAATTCTCAAAATATTATTAGCAGATACACGAAATAATTATTATGTGTTATAATGCCGCAAATAATCAAAATATATTATTTAGAAATATGAATACAAGTATTACTAGAATAGAATAATTGCGTTATTTAAAGAACGTGAAAGTAATAAAATTTATTATGACATAAATTATTTATAGTCTTACCGTACGTACAAATAATTTAAAAACAATAAACAAAAAACAAAAAAAAATAATACATTATATGTTAGCGAATGTTATTGGCAATAATAGTAAATTCACATTTAATATAAATTGCTTGTACCAGATTGAAGAAAAAAAAAAAAATCTAATTGAACATATTGTACAATTACCTACAGAACTAAAGTAACCATCAATTGCTTTATCAGTAATATTCTAATTTATTTAATATCAAGAATTTATATAATATGCACTGTACACTTAATGTTATTGTAATTATTAGACGATAAAATTATATAAGAAAAGTATCCAATTATATTAAATTACTGGAATCATAAGGTTCCCTAATGCGTTAACATCTGAATTGTTTGCTTCCTGTTACTTTACATGTATCTAAGCAATTGAATTTATATCTACAGAATAAAATATTCAAGAACACTCTTACTAATTGTTTTTAGATAATATCCCGGTGAAGAGTATTGGGACTTTCTTAATTAATGAGACTTCCTTAGGAAAGTAAACTGGTTTATACGGCAGCCATAAAAGGGGTTTGAAATATTAGTAAAAGACTAGTAGAAATGTTGCGCTTACCAGGATATGACGATGGCCGTTCTGGTGGACTGTCCGGACTCGAGGGCACTTTTGCAGTAACGACGTGAGTCCCAAGTGAAAGAGTCCCATGCCTGCCGTTGTAGGTGGAGACGCCATTCCTACGTAAGGGACTTGGCCAAAATACGTAGGATTTCCGAGGGTGCCTAAGGATCCTGAATATCCAGGGTAATAAAATGGGCTTCCGAACCTCGTCGATTTAAATTGTGCAGTCGCTTGAATTTCGCTATTGGCTAAG